GAGGTGAGAGTTTGTCAGGCTCAGGGCCCTAAGGCCTTCCCTATGGGCCAAAAGAGGATCCATAGAGATAAAGAGACAGACTTTCCGTGCTGGGTGACAAAAGGGCCATGCTGTATATAGACTGAATCATCTTAACTCAATTAATTAGAATTCCAGATTTATGAAGAGAAAAAAAATCCACATCCTGTGATAAGTCATGGGCCTGGCATCTGCCTCTTACCTCTGACTGGGGAGTTTAAAGATGGGCTCTTGTAAATAGAAAGTAATACTTTATTGAAAACACTTTTTTCTTTCTTTTAAAAAGTCATTATTTGGCTACGAATGCATCATTTTCTCCCCTGGCTATGAGTCTCAAATATCTGCAAATATGCATTGCATAATGAGCCTCTGGCAGGCTGCAAAATCACATCTTGTTGCCTTTCATGGAAGAAAAATGAAGAATTATGAAAACACAATGACAAGATTTTTCTACTCCAGTATTTCCTTTATCAACTCTGTGACTGTATAAGGCAAAGGCAACTGGATGTCAAGGTAAACTTTCCAGGTTAAGATAAATCTGACTCTTCGTCAAAACAAAATGCTAGGGCCCCTGGCTTTCCTGATTTCTTAATTTGAATTGGGGGAAAACCTATTGCAGCTGTATTGACCAAACTGTATGTTTAAGGAGGAGACTGAGGCTTCATTCTCAAAACCTAAGGGTCTTGGGTTGATGTATCTGTTGTTCTTTTCAATTTCTCACTATTCAGATGGGGGTGAGGGAAGAGTGTCAGCAGACACTCTATTGGTTTTGTAAATAAGAAGTGATCTCATTAGAACTATGTAGACTGGAAATAAACTTGGCAGCTACTGCCTTTGTTAAGTTTCAGCAACTTGCCTAGAGCAGAGCACACCCTGCAGAGTGGCAGGAGACCTTCATGTGACATCACAGTTAGTCGGACAGGCTGCAGCGTCACTGTTGCCCAGAATTCTCCTTTCCAACAACACAGTGAACTCCAAGGCACAGGCTGACTCTTGGCTCTACTCTCACGTCCTCATTGTGACCAGCACAGTGCAGAACACGGGAGCCAGCGACTATTCTAGACCTTCCTTTGGGAAAATAAAAGATGGAGACAGAAATCCACACAGATCCAGTGCTGATGGCCCAAATGGCTGGGGAGGAGGCGAGTGTGCCACCTCAGACAGAGGCCCTGAGGAGGCAGCCCAGAGTCCTGAATCACCGCTGAGGAAGGACACACCAAGTGCACCGTGTAGGAGGGGGAGGCTGGGAAAGCACAATTCCTAGAAATGTATTTTTGAAACGTTTTAATTGTATAATTTTTCCATGTTATTTACAAATGCAGTAAAGATTTTCCTGTGTGTTCATTCCTTCCTGATTGCTTATTTTCCTTACAGAATGATTCCAAAGTAAAATCAATATGATGCTGTTGCAACACCAGAGACTCTGAGCCACGGCATGCATTTCTGTTATTTCTGGGTTTTTTCTCTGCTTTTCTTCTTCTTTTCCTCCTCTGTGGTCCTTCTCCTCCCTCTTTTCTTTCTCTCTTCTTTTCTTTGCGCCTGTCCTCTCTTAGTCTATATGTGCTGCTATAAAAAGAAATACCTGAGACTGGGTAATTTATGAAGAACAGAAATTTATTTCTCACAGTTCTGGAGGCTGGGAAGTCCCAGATCAAGGCACTGGCTGTGAGGGCCCAGCCTCTCTGCATCCAAGATGGTGCCTGTTGCAGTATCTTCTGGAGGGGAGGAAGATTGTGCTCTCACATGGCAGAGAATCAAAAGAGAAAAAATGCACTCCTTCCACAAATCCTTCTTATAATGGCATTAATCCATTCATGATGGCAGAACCTTCATGACCTAAACACCTCTTAACACTGCTGCATTGGGGATCACGTTTACAACACAAAAATTTAGGGGGCACATTCGGACCACAGCATTCTCTATGTCATCTCTCCCTGCTCACAGTGCTTCTTCCCCATACCCATCCCACCTTCCCTAACTTTGCCCTCACTCTATTCTCTGTCTGATGATGAGCTATTAGACTGTCAGTTTTTCTATTGTAAGCATGTTAGGTTTTGTTTCCTTTTAGAAATAGGGCAAGTTGTTGGTGTTTTATCATGGCCATCATAAAACCACAAAGATACCTTAATTCAGCTGTGTCATGTACAAAAAGTCATCTTTCTTGCAAAATCTCTTCCCGTCTCCCTAGCTTTTAGGTCCTCGAGACCATTTAGAGCGCCTTGGGGAGGGAGCAGGTTCCAAATGAACATGAAAGTTAGGGAGGGTTCCCAGCACAAGCAAGGAAAAAGGAGAAGAAACTGAAACAGGATATGAGATATAAATCTTCCCTTGGCCAGGCTGAAGCAACCTAGAAGGCCCAGCATTCCACTCAGCGTCCAAGGTCACCTATATCAGTTTCAAAATAGAGTCACTTCCATTTTCCATAGAAAACAAAGCCAAAACATTCTTTTAAAAGATTTTCAGTCTTCCTAGGGAAACCATAGCTGTATCTAATATGAAATGGGGAAAAATTTTCTCATCAATATGTACTAGAAAAAGGAAAACTGAGGGGAAGATGTGAAGGCCACCCACAAATGTGGGACCCCATGGGGATTTGCATGCCAACACCAGCCACAGAGAAAAGGCCCTTCCCACCACACAAGGACACAATTACCAGGATTTTGAGAAGTCTGAGAAGGAGATACAGCCTAAAACTAGAACCATGCTCCTCCCCAGATCAAACCAGGGCTGAGTGTTCCCAAAGGACAGTAGAATCCTTGGGAGGCAGGTGACTCCAGGGGCAGGGCCAGGGGATGGGCTCCCCAGCAGAGCACAGTACTGTGCACAGCAGCCTGGAAAGGCTCACTCTAGTGGGGGTGGGCAGTGAACACAGGGATGGGGGACAGTCTGGGCAGACCACATGTGATATGGTTTGGTTCTCTGTACCCACCCAAATCTTACCTTGAATTGTAATAACTCCCACATGTCGCAGGAGGAACCCAATGGGAGGTAAGTGAATCATGAGGGCATGTTTTTCCCATGCTGTTCTCATGACAGTGAATAAGTCTCATGAGATCTGATGGTTTTATAAAGGGCAGTTCCCCTGCACACACTCTCTTGCCTGCCACCATGTAAGATGTGCCTTTGCTCCTCCTCTGCTTTCCGCCACGATTGGGAGGCCTCCCCAGCCACGTGGAACTGTGAGTCCATTAAACCTCTTTCCTTTATAAATTACCCAGTCTTGAGTATGTCTTTATTAGCAGTGTGAGAACAGATTAATCCAATATGCTCTTCAGGGCCCCTACAAAGCTCTGCTGATTCTGTGACCTGTTTAAGTCAGGTTCAAATTCTGTATCCAGGCCCTCAAGATCCTCCACTCCATCTGACCATGTTGCCCACTACAGCCACTCAGATCTCCACAACATGCTACCTGCACAGCACTTTAACCTTGGTGCATCCGCACCTGCTCAGGACAGGGTCCCTTTTACTGCTTCTCCCAAATCCCCCTGCAGTCAAGTCCCTAACACATGCTCCTCCACATGCCAGCAGAACCCAGAGAAGACCATGCCAGAGGCGTGCCCAGCGTTTGGCACACCTGAAGCGATGGAGTAGATCTGCTTCCTTGGCAGGACTTCCAGAGACCTCAGGGACCTTGCAGCCAAGGCATGGCTGGTGGTGATGTGCCAAAATGCATGGGGAAACCAGCTACGCTTTCATAATCAAGCACTGCTTCCTCAACTACCAAATGGGAATTACATTACTTACCTGATAGTGGCCTCATGAGGATTAAATGAGATCATGCTCATAAAACACCTAGGATGTTTTATGGGCCGGATGTGGTGGCTCATGCCTGTAACCCCAGCACTTTGAGAGACCAAGGCAGGTGGATCATTTGAGGCCAGGAGTTCAAGACCAGACTGGCCAACATGGTGAAACTGTGTCTCTACTAAAAACACAAAAATGAGCCCAGGGTGGTGGGTCATGCCTTTAATCCCACCTACTTGGGAGACTGAGGCATGGGATTTGCTTGAACTCAGGAGATGGAAGTTGCAGGGAGCCGAGATCATGCTACTGCACTCCAGTCTGGCAACAGAGTAAGACTCTGTCTCAATAAATAAAAAATAAAATACCTAGTTTGGTGCCTGGCAAATCTGTAATAAATATTGATTACTTTTATAATTGATGTTAGAGCTGAAAGGTAATCCCAGATTCTTTTATCCATATAGGAATATGCATATACATATGTACAACACAGCAATATATATGTACACATGAACATGAAATACAGGTGGTTCACAGATCTTACATCTATGGTATAACTTTTTTTTTTTTGAGACAGAGTCTCTAAATATACTGCTTATTGTGTCAAGGATATGTCCAAATAATTTCTTAAATTTTTGAGTTCTTACATATTTAGGAGCATAGTTTTTCCCAGAATAATGTGGTTTTCTTTTCTTTATTTTTTTTTTTTTTGAGACAGAATGTCGCTCCATTACCCAGGCTGGAGTGCAGTGGCACCATCTCAGCTCACTGCAACCTCCTGCCTCAGCCTCCCGAGTAGCTGGGACTACAGGTGCACACCACCATGCCCAGCTAATTTTTGTATTTTTAGCAGACACAGGGTTTCACCATGTTGTCCAGGCTGGTCTCGATCTCCTGACCTCGTGATCCACCGGCCTCGGCCTTGCCAAGTGCTGGGATTACAGGTGTGAGCCACCGTGCCCGGCCCTATGGTATAACATTTAATTAAATATTAAAAACCAAAGGTTCCAAAGGCACTTGATTAAAGCTTAAGAGAAGAGAAAACAGAAATGCATTAAAATTTCATGAGCTACTTGCCATTTAAGTGTATCTTAAAATCTATAGAGCAGTAGTCCTCATTTATACTGTAATGGCTTGAAAAAAGCTGAATAAAATTTCTTTCTGCAAAACTGACTCAAAGAAAAAAGAAAGGCAAGTGATATGACAATTGAACAAAACAGTCAACCATAACTTCTCCTTACCTTTGACCCAATGAGAGTGTACAGCCACTGAATGGTTTCATTGTGGTTTATTACTCCATTCATTCCATCCACATACAACATAATCTGGCCCAAAGCTACAGAAAACAAGAAAAAGGAGACATTAAAGATTTATATAGAAATACAATCTTCAGTGATCATAATACTAATCAAGATTTTCATACTTTAAGTACACAGCATGTTAAAGATCAAATCTGAGGAGAATTCCTGAGCTCTGAAATTAGCTAAAACTCATTTCAGAGAGAAAGTGTCGAACACTAGAAGAAACAAGGGCTATTCCAGGCTCCTAGAAGATGCAATTAAGGCACCAATCCAGTGATTGTTGTTTCTGTGTGCCTTGACGTATAAATGCATGTTTTTCTGTTTCTATATCTGTGTGTAGTCCCAGACAGGACAAAGATATTCATGAGATGGTGTCTGGGTTGTGGCCTCCCACGGGGGCCACAAGGACAAAAGTTTCCAAAAGCAACCTGTCCAGTGCCCCAGTCTGTGATCAGCAAGTCTCAGATTCTGTGGGATGATCCTGAATTAATCCAATTTTATTCCAATAGGTCAGCAATAAATGTGTAGTTAAATATTACGAGCAATTCCCCTTAAAGATTTTCAAGTAAAAAACATCAGGTATCATGAAAATACATGATATCACACGTTCATCACACATCAAATCCTAAATTCTTAGTTTAGGAAAATATAGTCACCACATACTATCATTGTTCTCCAAAGAGAAAATACTGGCTATGTTTTTTTAAGCAAACATTAAACTCAGGTTTTCAACTCCATTAGTACAAAGATAATCTGAATGATAGATAATGAACAAACAGAAGTTACCTAAAGGAAGAAGGATTCCTTCAATCACATCTAACGTCCTAATCATATTTCACCCAAAACTAATTGCAGGGCATTGACATTTTTCTAAACAACATTTTTTTTTATGCTGGTAACAGGACAGCTCATTTTAGAAAAATACAGAAGAATAAAGTGAAAATAATTCATATTCCCATAAATTAAAGATAACCATTCTTAAAATATTGATGTATTTTCTTATATTTTTTTTTATGCATTACACACACATATAAAGTTTATATGTGGGTTGCAAGAAACATTCTACATGAAATATGTTGATTAAAAAGAGCAAAACACAAAACAGTATACACAAATTCTAAGTATACAAATATATATGTAATATTAGAAAACTCATCCTATCCAACAGAGGATCAAATAAGAAAACCACGTTAGTGGCCAGGCACAGCGGCTCACGCTTGTAATCCCAACACTTCGGGAGGCCAAGGCAGGTGGATCACATGAGGTGAGGAGTTCAAGACCAGCCGTACCAAAATGGCAAAACCTCGTCTCTACTAAAAACACAAAAATTAGATGGGTGTGGTGGCGCACAACTGTAATCCCAGATACTCAGGAGGCTGAGGCAGGAAAATTGCTTGAACCCAGGAGGTGGAGGTTGCCGTGAGCCAAGATCGCGCCACTGCACTCCAGCCTGGGTGACAGAGCAAGACTCTGTCTCGAAAAGAAAAGAAAAAGAAAAGCAAAAGAAAGAAAGAAAAAGTAAAAGAAAACCATGTTATTCTGAGAAAAACTATGCTCCTAAATATGTAAGAACTCAAAAATTTAAAAAATTATTTGGACATATCCTTGACACAATAAGCAGTATATTTTGAGAAATAACAGATTCATATTATGTTTAATGGTAAAACACTAGAGATATTCCTACTAATCAGAAAATAATTTTTAAATGATGCTCATTAAACGTATGGATTATTTAACACTGCTACAGAATTTTAGACAAATTTAATAAGATATGAAAAACAATAAGATACAAAATTGCTGGAAATACAGATTGTCATAATTTGCAAGTAACATTATAGATACAATAAAAAAATTCACAGAATTACAAAGAGATTACAATTATAATCACATTTCTCATCCTAATGAGAAATCTGTATGTAGCATTTGAATGTAGCATATAAAAGTTTGATATAAAATTATACTAGATAAGTGGATCTATAAAAAATATATTAAAGAATAGAATTATTTCTTTTTAAAATAGTTAATACAACTAGTAAAATATTAAATACCAATAGAAAAAAGGCAAATACATTTTATATGAGACAACAAACTTGTTTATAATAGCATGCAAAATTGTTCACTCTCACTATAAAACAAATGCAAATTAAAACAATAATAAGGTAGTGTTTTCACTCAAGTTGGCAAAGGTATTTTAAAAAGAAGTGATTATGTATCAAACACTAGAGAGGTTAAATAACTTCATGCATTGGTAGTGGTAGGGCAAACTGGTAGAAACCTGCAATAAGGCTATCTAGGGCTATAATTATTTTGTAAAGTTACCATGTATTTAGTGCTCACTGTGTGCCACGTTCTCCGGAGGGATTTTATAGGTATTATTAATAGAAGGGCCATAAGCAGTGGATATTTTTACCTCTATTTGGCAGAGGAAAAACCTGAGGCTCTGAGAAGTGAAGGGATGTGTCCAAAATCTCCATCACTGCCTAAGTAGCAGAGGCCACTTCCAGCCAGGGTGGGAGAGCATGTATATGTTTATACTAAGAACCTTAAAGTCCTCTTCAAGCCTTTCCCCAGTCATCATGATTTGGGAAACCTATTCTAAGGAAACAGCTCTAAGTTTAAACAAACAAAATAAAAAAGGAAGCAAAGGTGTTCACTGAAGCATTATTTAACATACCAAAATAATAACTAAAACACAAATACCTATCATGGCTCTAGAACTCAGCATACACAGTCATTTACCAAAGCTATGTCCTAACTTGTAAAATGTTTCTCATAAAATAAGTAAAAAGCAAGTATAAGTAAAAAGCAACATCACATAATTAAATAAGTAAAAAGCAACATCATATAATTAAACAAAACACTCAAATCTTCTTTCAGTTGAGATAAGGTCTCACTCGGTCGCCCAGGCTGCAGCACTGGTGCCATCATGGCTCACTGCAGTCTTAACCTCCCAGGCTCAAATGATCCTCCCATCTCAGCCTCCTGAGTAGCTGGGACCACAGACACATGCCACCACACTCAGCTATTTTTTTTTTTTTTTTTTCTGTAGAGACAGGGTCTCCTCATGTTATCCAAGCTGGTTTCAAACTCCTGGGCTCAAGCGATCCACCAGCCTTGGAATCCCAAGTGATCCACCAGCTTTGGAATCCCAAAGTGCTGGGATTACAGGCATAAGCCACCGTGCCCAGTCATAACACTCAAATCTTCATGCATACAAAGAAGAAAAGGAAATCCACAAAATATTAACCATTGTGATTGAGTACATGCTCTTTGGATGTATTTTTCGTATTTTTTCTATTTTCCCAGTTTTCTAATATGAGCATCGGTTACTTCTGTAATGGAAAAGTAAAGACTGAATAATGTAAGGTGCTACATGCTTTTGTCTTTAGAATTTTTTACTAGTGCACCCTTTCTTAGCAACACCCACCCCTCCCCCTCCATCCCACACCCTCCTGCAGAAAGACGCAGCCCCTACCTCATGGAAGAGCTCCAAGAATTCGGCACATTCTGCCCTAATTTTTTTTCCCATTTCTTCCCTCCTTCCCTTCGCAAACAAACTGGCAAGTCTCCATGGAAGGGGAGTTTGCTCCACTGTCCTTTTCCCATTCTGAGTCCCACTGCTGAAGAGGCCAATCCTGAGGTACATTTTGGCACCTTCCTTTAAACCAGCCTAACCACACAGGGAGAGAGAAGGTAGACTCTTTAGCCTTCTGGAAGGTATATCCACAGGGAAGACTCTCTCCCCAAGGCTGAGAAACTGGGACTGAAGGCTTCCACCCTAAGAGTTCAGGGCCTCTGGTACTGGCCAAGGGCCCAGGAAGCCAGGACACTATTACAAATGGGAGAAGGCAAACTAAGATTTAAAAGCTGACTTGATCTGTTCCCTGCAACATTCTATTAACCGATGACACTGGAAGAGGTGCGTCACTAGAAAGTTCATGTCTAATGGAATTCAAGTGTCCGATCACACGAATTTTTCATATTTTGGTAATCAAATCTTTCCCACTACATCTTTTTTGTACCCTACCCGCTGCTACTAAAGCAATCCCGCCTGTAAACCACTCCAGACACAAGATGGCGCTAAAGAGATTCATGTGGGTTATTACTGCACTATGAGCAGCAAAAACCCACCAACCTCAAACGTGGGCCTGAGAATAAAACCCACACAGAAGAACAAAACAGATAACTTGAAAACACACGTCTGGGTCACAGGAGCCATGAAAATTCATGATTTGTGTTTTCAAGAAGGATGTGGAGGCTGAGACTATCAGAACACAAAGGTAGATGTCACCACAGGTCTAGGAAGAGAGGATTTCCTGTTCTGCCACTCATGGAACTTATGACACTGGAGGTATATTTATTCATCCTTCTGTGTGCCAGTTTCTTCATCTCAAAAATGACACAGCTATACCATACTATCTATTTTGCAGGGGTGTGGTGAGGAATGAGTTAGAATAGTGCCTCCATTGAACAGAAGCACACGCTGAACAACTCTCAAAAACAGAAAACCGGGAACAAGCTCTCCAGGCTAACCTTACCCAGCTGTGGGTCATGAGAAGTGGTGGAAGAACTCCTTGCCTAACTAGAAATCAGAAAGATTTTCTCTTAGGCATTCTCCTAAAAATGTATAGTTTTTCGTCTTTATATGTAGCTGTATGATCCAATTTGAGATAACTGTTGTACAAAGAAGCGTAGATTGAAGTTCATTTTTTTCATACGTACAACTGCTATAACGCCATTTGTTTTTCTATTTCCAAAAATCAACTGGTTGTGTTTGTACAGGTCTGTTTCTGTTGCATTGGTCTGTCCATCCCTTTGCCAATACCACACAATCTGGATCACCATAGCTTTACAGGAAATGTTAAAATCAGGTAGTGTGATTCTTCCTATTCATTCTTCTTTTTCAAAATTGGTTCAGCCATTCTTGTTCTTTTGCCTTTTAATACAAATTCTGGAAGCAGCTTGTCTAAATCAACAACAACAAAATCTTTCCGGAAATAATCTATAAATTCTAGGAGAACTGACATCTTTACTA